CCAGACAGTGTGGTCCTTTAAAGTGGACTTTCCTTAAACGTTGGGTCCCGCCACTTTCAAACAGTGTCGAGTCGCTGGTGCATCGTTCGATTCGCTGGTGCAAAGTTCGATTCGCTGGCGCAACGCTCGATTCGCTGGCGCAGCGATTCGCTAGCGAATCGCCCGATTCGCAAACTATGACATCGGCCTTAGCTTGGCGTAAATTTGGTCCAAATCTCGCGCAATTGCTTTTCAACAGCTTTTGCGACGACCTCATTTTTTTGGGATTAGACAGCATGTTCGCTGTCGAACTGTCCAGATAAAATGTCACCTCAATACAAAAAGTTTCAAGTGCGAACACCAGTGAAATGTAATAGAATAACATGAGGCGGGTTTATAATTTTGAGTCAGCAGCAGCCCTTGCACATGAAAACTATCAGAAAAAATTCTTTGATTTTTAGTTGAATGTTGATGTTCATAGATTATCTCGCATTTATATATAACACAATAGAGGCATTTTTTGAAACATCTGAATATGTGAGACTTTGAGGAATCCTAAAGTGGAATCATAATTATGAGACGAACTGTTGAAGTTCGGCTCCCCCTGCTTATATTGTCCGAACAGACGCTTGACCCTGGCTGGATGCGTCCAAACCCCCTCCGTAAGTCGCGCAGAACGTACTGTGCTCGTCTGTCCTAGTTAACACAGTAAACCGTGTGCACCACACGGTAACCCACGCGGATCCTTTCATGCGGCCACGCTCACCACTTGGTGATGCACGAGATGGTACTTTTTGGAAAGTGTGGATCGGTGTCGCTCCTGTGTCCTCCCCGTTGATTTCCTCGTTGGGCGTGTCGGTACCGACATCATCGGTGTCACCACTCTGATCTACCTCAATGCTAAAACAGCTACGATCCGATGGCGTGTGTTCACCCGCTGTGGTTGTCGATTGGAGGGCGGGAAGAGAGACGACGCGTCGAAGGGATGGGCATGGCCTTGCAGGCTGCCTTTCGCCCTGAAAGCGCCACGTCCTCCATTGGATCCCCAGCATCCCTTTGTAGCGAGCATCCCTCCCCTCTTTCCGCATGCAAATTATCGTGTAACCTGCCTTTAGAGCAGCCATATCTCTCCTTCTTCAACACCCAGTTCCGCGTTTTCTGGTTATTCGATGAAAAAATCATCCCGAGTCTAGTGAAAGAAAATTTTGATAGAATATTCATTTGTACAACAAGCAATCAAAAACAACAATCAATATTCAACAACATAACAACGGTCTGTAATATGACTGAAAACTTTCAGAAATAACATCAGTCTGGATTGAATTTCCTTGCATTTTTCAGCAGCGCTATCCTTTTCTTATCCTGATTGAACTTTTCTCTCAGCTCATTGAGTTCTAGAAAAATACATTTTTTTCGTCAACATCAACACCCATTATCCTTGTATCAGAAACCGAAAGAGCTTTCATTCTGGACTGGACCAAAGCGGCTTTTGAGACCAGAACCAGTTCTCATGTAATGACAATTTCTAACGTTTGTGGCCCGACGGGTTTCCGTTGAGGAACACCTCCCGCTTCTCTGATTTCAGCCAGCCGCACATTTCGAACAACAACAGGACAAGTTTTATTTCGCTTAGAAACAGATCTGAAAGCGCTGGGGGTGTGGTCAGGCCCAACATTTCTCCACTAAATAACGTCTCTGTCGATCGACCATATTTTCACATTTTCTCATCCAGCGATCTATTCATTGGTGAAACAGCCGACAGCGTGCTTTGCTCGAAAATAAATTTCCTCAGTGTACGAATTGTGAACAAACACTTACTTTTCGTTTTTGGTGTTCTTCTTGTCGAACGAGTAAAATGCGATATCGACCTAAATAAGGGCAGTCATGCACTACGTTGATAAGGTAGAAATACTTATTACGGCAATGAACTAACATGGTTCTTCTTTTTCTTTAGTCCGCCCATGAACGGCACTTCGTCCTTCTTCAACTTCATAACTTTACCAACCTAAAAATCTTTGCTTTAGGGTTCAACTCTAGAAAACTAACCGGAGCTCCATCGAGCACTCTTTTTCAACGACTTACTGTTTGTTAGCTTTGCCGATGAGAACACAAAAAAACAAAACAAAATGAAAGGATGATCGGCGAAAAAGGAAAAAAAAGGTTTTTGGAAGAAAGTGAAAAGAACAGGAATTGTAGGACAGGAAAGAGAAGTTTGTGGAGGTAAACGCAAACAAGTTAAGAGGCAAGCATAGAGCTAAAGAAAGCAACTCGACTGCTCGTAAAAAGGGGAGTGAGGCAAAAGCGAACGCAGGAAGACTGGAAAATTACTCATTGTGGGGAGAAGATTGAGAAACAAATCTGTGAGCACAGTCACCTTTGCGATGTGTGGTTGAAATAAATCCCCGGAAAATGATAAGGAAGCGGAAAAACAAAAGCAATTTGAACAATACTAGGGCTAAGATTGAACTTTGAATTGCTTGACAAAGAGTTCCGAGCAATGCCGTAGTCGAACATTATGTGATTATCAGAAACTGCTTTAGAAATTGATCCAACTTCTACACTTCATATGAGGTATAAAAAAAGGTTAAAAGTACAAACCCGTTTTGCGGCTTTCGTCACGGTAATCCAGCCCTCCTCGTCTGGTTCTGTTAGCTTCCGTTTCGCAGCTTTCTTAGCCTTAAAAATATAGCGCATTAAATATACTCAGATATAAGCTATAATACAACAAACTGATACAAATTTCTTTGAATACAAATGGATAACCTCCTGCATTTCCTCATCTTGCTTCTGGATGAAATCCATGGCTGATTTTTGTATTTCCTCCGCAGAAGGGAAAAGTTTTCGATAAAGTGCAACAGAATCTGAAGAAATAACCCAATTTTAGTAAGAGTTACTATCTTGTACGACATACAACGCTTTTCAATAATGTAAAGATCAAAAGCGCTTACTTTGAAGAACCGATGGCACTTCGGGGTCGACAAAGTCACACACTCGAAATGGTCCTGCTTCTTGACATTGTGAAAGCGCGAGACTAACGCCTTTTGGATCTTCAAAACGCACCGATAAAGTAAGTTGGCCCTGGAATAATATTGAACAAACTAACAAGCGATGTCCATCTATCAAAAGATTTCAAAACATACATGATTGAGAGATCCATCCAATGCATTGCTTCTTTGTTCTATGACTTCAGTAATAGGCACTTGCACAAATTGCTTCAGAAAGCCTTCAACAAAGCCCTGAAAACTGTAAGTTCAAGAGGAAAAAAGCAACGTTGGAGAAAGGCGGAAACTTGAGAGGGAAAAAAGAAAGACAAACACGAAGGAAAGTAAGCCACACCCACCTTGGGCAAGTAAGCCGGTACATTTCCAACAATGAGTGAGAACTCATTGGACTTGTCAAACTTCAGGAACAGCTGCCGAGGAGTAGGGTAGCGCTCGCTCACAGAATAGCGGAGATCTGAGAAAACGACAAATGTGTGGCTTAGATGTTTCGATGACTAGCACAACATGTGATTTCGCGCATT